ATATATATATATATATATATATATATATATATATATATATATATATATATATATATATATATATATATATATATATATATATATATATATATATGTATGAATCCAGGAGGTCAAACACAGGAGTCATTCCAGTATTGGCCACACCTCATCTATTGTTTTACTTCATCTAGGAGTCATTAAGATGTTCCGTGCCAACAGAATCCTGTGCTCTATAAAAGCTCTTTGTTTAACCAGAGAGTTGGCAAATCCCATATATTTTCCATTAATACTGTGCCTTCACTGATTGAACTGTTTCAGGTTGAGTTAAACGCTCTCCGCTTACATTCTAAGAATTAGACCCGGCGAAGGCCCATCACTGCGTCCAACACTGAAATAACGCTGACTGGATCCTGACTTCAGTGCTACACGTCAGCCTGTTATTCTGGTGAAAACAAATCTCTATGAAGTGTGTTTGCTATTAAAGCCTTGGACGGCTCTCTCTGGCTTCAGTAAACTCACGAACCCTAACATCAACACTCAGCATCAATTTGCAGTGATAAGCAGACAATGCACAAAACAGTGTTAAGTCACATCAGAGCTGGTTTTCTTTTGAAACCGCAGCCATAATTCAAACAGTATGACTTGTGAAATGTGATGTTATTTTTCTGTCTCTGCTGCTGATGAAAGCTCGTGCCTCTTTCGTGAGCTCACTCCAAGGTGGCCGTAGCCGTTAATGCTGCACTGTATCCTTCCTACCTACGGCTTTACAGTACATCACTTCAGACGCTGCGGTCGGGTCCCTCCTGGCACCTCTCGGTGTTTACTCAGGTTTGAATCTAAACTCTGTTAGAGTGAGGCTGTAATGGCAGCCAGACAGACAGAGAGAGGTGTTCAGAGCTGCTGGACCTCAGCTGTCAGTGTGGACTTGCTGCAGAGACGCTCACCTGAGTTTTCCCCCACTTTGTTGTGGATCAAGTGTTGAGCTGTGTGTGTGTGTGTGTGGGTACAGTTCTTTGGAAAAAGGATTCACACCCATGGAACCTTTCCACGCTTTGTCACGTTACGAGCGCAAACTCCAGTGTATTTCATTGCGATTTGTATGTGTCAGACCAACGTGACTGTAAAGTTGCATTTTATTTCAAGTTTAAAAATTAAAATTAAAATTTAAAACTGTAGCAGCCACATGTATTCAGACCCCTTGATTCAAGACTTTGTAGGAACATCTCCAGGTGGAGTCTTTTGGGAAGTATCGCATCTGGGTTTGGATTTCCAAAGACTTTTTTTTTTTTTCTCTCATTCTAGTCAGTTTGCCAGGAGAGCAAATATTCTAAAGCTTCCCAACCACTATAATTTATAGATTTCCAATTTTTAATTTATCATCAACAACTACTGGAATCAACCATTTTTTATACTTGACTTGATCTTTTGGTAATTGCGTTGTATTTCTGTCTTTCTGTTTCTGTAAAGCACTTTGCCAGGCTTTATGAAAAGTGAAGTCTGATAGATTGATAGCATGATGCTGCCACCACCCTGTTTCATCATGAGGTGTGTTCAGCATAGGCAAACGTTGAACAAATGTAAGGGGACTTTTCTTTAAGCACTGTTATGTGGGTAAGTAACAGAATATTTGAGGATGTATTTAGGTGGGTGGCGACAGAAGTCTGTGCAGTGACTTACCTTCCCCTGCTTTGGAAGCACCTAGCTCCAAGTCGTCCCGTGTCCCATTGTGGGAGTTGAGATAAGTAGCTGGGACCCAACCCTGCTCCTCTGCAGTGCTGACAAACCACCAACCTGTCAAACGACAACAGAGGCTGAAAAACAACAGGACTTGCAGCAAACCTTTGTTTCACAGCAAGCCTCAAGGTGCATAACGTATCAAAACAGTGTAGATTAAGCGTCACCAGTAAAGACAGGGCATATGTCTGCACTGTTAAAAAAACAAAATAACAGCGATGAGTTGCTCTTTAATTCTTACAGACGCTTCTGATAAGTTGGTTCATATTTGCTTTATTTAGAAGGCTCTTATTTAATATATCATTTTAAACCACAAACCATGAATCAAAACCTGCATGAAAATTCTTGTGAGTTTCCTCACACGGTGACCACTTCCACTGCCAAGAGCATCGGAATGAACACTGGCAGGCTACGGGTCGACTCATGACAAAGTTTTCCTTTCTTTCTGCATTTCATCCCAATCTGCCAAACGTTTTATTGGGCAGGACACAGCTGAAATGCTATTCTCAGGCCAAATTGTCCATTTGCTGTGCAGGAGATGACATGATTTAATTGTACTCAGTACGACGACAATTTTCTGCTGACAGCCTCAAAAGGGGGATATGTGGATTCACTTTAAAGTCAGATTGTAATGAAATGAATGTGAGTGAGCGCTAGAGTACATGTGTGTGCTCATTATGTCTCAACATTTCTGCCAAATAAGCAATTCATGTTAATGCCCTCCTCTAAAGTAGGGTACACTCTGTGAAGCTCTGCGAAGCTCTGACCTGATATATCTTTGTTCATGAGTCAAAAATGCGGGTTAACAGTTCTAATATGCAAAAGTGTGCAAAATAAACTGTGTGAGCACCATCTGAAGAAATGTGGCATAAAACTGTCAAAAACTGTCACTTTCACAACAATTTTAATGTGGTTTTCTCAACATAATGAGAGATGATTCAAACCAGATTTTTACATGCTAAAAACACCACCTTTTTTATTATCTTGTACAAGGTTAAGCTTTTCCTGTTTTAGATCAAATATATAACTATTTCTACTTAGAGTTTTTAAGATTTTTTTCACATTCAAAATTTGACACACATTTCCTAATTATTTTTTGTATAATCACCTTTAAAACTGACTGACTTAACAGAAACATTTTTTTTAACAAGTTTATGACGTTACTTTGAGGGAACTTTGGCCCGTTCCTCCCCAGAGATCTTGTGCAGTCAAGTCAGGTTTGAGGGCTTTCTTGATCACACACCTTTTCAGCTTCGCCTACAAATCTCTTATGGAACTGTGATCAGGGTTTTGTGATGGCCACCCTGAAACAATGACTTTGTTGTTTTTTGGGCCAGCTTATGACTAATCTGGTGCTTTCCTTAGAGTTATTGTCAATTTGGAAGCCCAATATGTACCCAAGATTTAACATCCTGGCTGATGTCTTGAGGTTTTGCTTCACAGTTTCCACATAGTAGTCTCCTCTCATTATGCAATCTAATTTGGTGAAGTGCATCGGTCCTTCTGCAGCAAAACACCCAAAGACTAACTTCAGATGGGTCCACAACTTTCTTCCTGATATATTATCAGATTTCCTTTAAGTTCCATGATGTCACATAAGGAAGCGACGTGTTTGAGGTGCTAATTACAGTTACGCCTCCAATTAACTCAAATTGAAATAAGCTTACAAATTCATAACATCATTGTCTGGGCTTTCCCAGATAGCATAAATGCATAGTAATAATAGTGCATGTAAATAGCTAAATGTAAAGAAAGTAAAATAAAATCTTTAAAAACTGTATCTCGTTATTCTGCCATTTAGAGAAAAGAAATATTTTGGTAATCCTAACAGACCTAAAGGAGGATATGAAGAGTAAAAGGTTTTTTTTGTTTGTTTGTTTTTTGGTTTTTTTATGAAAATACAAGAAGTTGGCCATCTAAATGTGTCTTTTTATTTTTGAAAAAATAAATAATTTGCATGGCTCTTGAGGAACTCAGAATACATCAAACTGTCAGTGCATTAGCAATAATTGTTAGTTAAGAATTAATTAAACAAGTAAAAGTGGAGTCAAGCTATGATTGGGAAACACCCACAGATCCCTGCAAAAGAAAAAGCTGGCAAAAAAAAGTGCTATATTTAATATGCCACACACCCACTCAACCCCCCCCCACACACACACTATTTGTTGTGGTAACAGGATTACAATATGGCTGACAGCTGTGTGGACGACCCATAAAGAGGACAGAACTGTTCCATGACACTTTCACAGCTGGTCCAAACCTCAAGTGTACAGTATTCTGTGAAAGTCTCATGGTATAAAGTGCTACGGTTGCTTATGATTATCCATAACAGTTATGAGAAGAGCAGAAGGGAGATTAATACATTTATGAAACATCAAAGAAGAAATGCATGTAGAAATGGAAAAATGGGGGGGGAACAGACTACCCAGTGGAGCATAATTGAAAAGTGGAACTAAAACTTTTTTTTTTTTCATTACTTTTTTGAAATACAAAGCTGAAAAGTGTGGCATGCATCGCTAATTAGCACCCTTTGGTCTAAAACTGCTAAACTATGTTCAGGAGTTGCTTAATTAGTAAGCAGAGTCTGGTCAGTATGAATATGGCGTTTTTTCTTTTTTGTACTTCAGACTTTTGAAAACATGAGTGAACAAATAACTTTACATTAATCAGAGCTAAAGTTGAGGACAACCTTAAAACAAGGTTAGGTTTTGAAACAATACCACATCTTCAACAACTCAAAGAGAGAGCCAAGATGGCCACGGTAATCCCAGAGGAGTCAAAAAGAACAAAACCACCATTAGTGGTTGTCTTGTCCACTTTAGAGATGGGTGTACCATGTGGACTCATTTCACTGAGAATGATTCAGCTGTCGGCATAAAAACTCAAAATACGTTCACCATTCCAACATTTGATGACTAACATAACCATAACATTAACTTCCCGTCAAATTAAGCTGGAAGCTAAAGGAACCGCAGACGTTCTGTTGACAGACGTAAGAATGTAGATCTCAATGGTGGCGACAACGAATGAAATAGTCCCAGATCTGTTTGCAGCTTGATGTATAGACTCTGGCATGAATGTAAAAAATGATTTGTCTGATGCACTTGCAGAGACTTGCAGATTCCAACATAAGGCACGCTTTTCATATGGAGACTTGGGGAAAAAAAATGGAAACTGCAAAAATGGGAATACTAATTGGGAAGGAAACAAAGGAAGTATTCAAGAAGGCATACAATAAAAAAGGAATGTCATTGAAGAAAAAGGGAAAGTATAAATATCTTTTAATTCTCTGACATTTTCTTCCCATACTTGTCCAGACAACATCAAATTCCAAGGTTTCTGCATCTTGCAGATGGATATAAATTATGGGCTAAGCAACAGCAAAACACATAAAATGCTGCACATTGAGAATATTTTAGCAGTAGTAAGCCATTCACTCCAGGAGGGTTGAGATAAGAAATGATGTCTGGCTCTAAGATTTTCTTATTAACAGTCGGAAACATAACAAGCCATGTAATATTCTCAGTCTTTGAACCAAAGCTTTGATTTGACTCAAAATGCCACGCCTATAAATCAGACTGAAACTAAAAACCACACAAAACACATCATGCTGCCCAAAGAATTCAAATCAAAAGAAATGAATGACCGATTCCCTTTCCCCACAGTGCAAATCAAAGCCTTTTAAAAATATGAGCAATATAATTAATTAGCTTTTAATTGCAGTGTCATCATCGCTTTCAATCACTTCAGACTTTGCAGTTTTGAAATGTTGCAATAGCTCATTAGGTCGGTGCAAGCATTTAATTAACTCTCGAGTGTTTAACAGCTCATAAACCAAACTCTGTTTATGGTACACCAAATGAAATCAACCACAATAATAATGACTCAGCAGGGGGTAGGACCAAAGCGCCCGGATGCTTACCTGCAAAGTGTCATTTTCGCCCGCTTAAAAAGTAAGCTGTGTAAGAGTCGGGTGTCTGAATATGCTTTATTTGAAACCCCCGGTTGAAAGCGCATATAGACATAAAACATATGCCGCTAATCTAAGATTACTGATTCAAGAGGCTTATAATGTTCAACCATCCCTCCATATGGCAACTGCTTAGACTGAGTTCACCGAACCTCAAAAGAAGCAATAAATACCCCAAAACACGAATGCACATTATGTAACTTTGTAGTTTAAGATCAGACAGGTTACAATTATAGAGAAGGAATAAGCAAATTCTTTACATCTTTGTCCTCATGTATTAATTCACAGAAGGTGTGCTCCTCTACTGTTGTTTACAGGCAGCATAAATTGATAGAGATACAGCTTTAGGAAGCCGTGCGGTGTAAGCTGTATGTTTCCAGTAAAACACACCTTGAAATTCCAAACATCTTGCGTCATATTTCAACAAGGTTTGGCCGAAATGGAGGCGATGATCCTTACTTTTTGGACACCGATTTCAGACCTGATAGGGTTAAAATTTTGTGTTCTTTATAGCAATACAACTCCTCAACTGAGGTCATTGCAAAAGAAACAGCTGTTTTGTGTGTGGGTCTCCTGCTGCCAAGACAGCAATTTTGCAGAATTACACAATCCTAACTTTCAGATGAAATCACGCTCTCAAGTCTGCGTGGATCTCTGGAACTTGTTAACCTTCATGTAAATGTGCTTGTATGATCCACAGGGCCTTGGTATAAATGTTTCAGAACACAAACTATTTAATAGATGACAGATTTCAAATATATAAAAAAATATATAATGTAACAGTATGCAGTGTCACAGTTATGTCAAATGAGATCTCTTTTATAGACGCCAAGAAAGGAAAGACCAATGGTCAAATTATAGGAGTTGAGGGAGTACAGCTCTACATTTGAGTACCCAAAGGTGAAACAGAAGATAAATGATAATTAGATTAAGTAAGTTATGATCTGTCCCCTCCCTGCTTCTGATAAACTGAACAGATTTGTTTCCAGAAAACAAAATATCTGGAAGGAGTGTGAGTGTTTGCACAACTACATCTGTCAGTGCAACTGTCTGATTCTAATAAAGATGCAGTGATGTTTCCTAATTG